GTTTACGTGAAGAAAAAAAATTAATCGCACATCATGTCTTCTTGGACGAACCACCTTCTCAAAGAAAAATGATAATTTGACAGTGACATTTTGTTTTTTATATTAATAAGTTAGGATACCTGATTTTGAATACTTTAAGCCATAGACTATCACTCTTTTCTTTCGATAGGCGCGAATTTTTGAACTTAAATTCATCGCTAAAGTTTTAGTTCCTCTGATGGCACATCCGGCGATACTTCGAAATCACCTCCGAAAATGTCTCGGCGTTACTGACTACAAAGTTTCAGTTCCTTCTGAGGCACATCCGGGCTTACGAGGGTAGTGTGCGCACTCCCATACTGATCAACAGCCCGACTAAACTATCGGCCGACCAAAAATCAACGGTGTGCGCCTACTCTTACTTCTTCACATCAGCCAGAATATCTTTTAAAATACTGGTGTGATTTAAATGAATTTGGTATCAATTTATAGTTAAAAGTTTAATCTTACTTTAAAATGGTGCCACTTTTTTTGTTACTAACAAATTCGTTAGTGTACCTACACAAGATCGTGTAGAAACAACTTCATGTAAGTGATTCCATACTTTTGCTCGCGTGTGTAGTTAAGTATGTAACTTACCTAACCAGAAGGAATATCTTGATTTTCGTTCGTGATAAGTGTATTAAAATAAATCTTTATCTACCCTTGATAGTTGACACCAAGGTTTATGTTGCTTGCTATACGTTAAAAAATTTAAATCTCATAAATATATACTTGTAACAGATTTAGTTTTAAAGAACATTTATTTCTCATTAAAAACATTACAGTCACTTACATGAGAAATTAACAAACTTTATGTAGGTAGATAATTTAATTAAATTTGAAAATTGTTATCGCTCAAGCTTTATCTTTCACCTGGAAAATAATGACTGATACTGATAAATGTATAAAATGCAATTTTACATGTAGAGATCGATGACTTTTAGGTACCTACCTACCTAGCTAATGAGATCTTCTTATTTGTAAGTTCAACGTCATGATGGTGATGGCCAGCCATAGTTGACATAGCCATAGTAGGAGGGACGTAAAAGAGTAAATTCTGATTCCATGCTGTTTATGAGTAATTATTCGCGCTTTTTAGCAGATTGAAGTTTACGATGCAATAGGCGTGTACAAAACATGTTTAGGCTAAAGTTGCATCTATGGTTGTATGGTCTGTTGTAGGTATACCTACAGTCAGGGCCTTCGGCAGCCTCAGCGCTAAATAATTTAAAAAATATGCTCCGATGTTTGCTGGTCTTGTCTCCACACCAATCGTTTGTACCATGCACGTGGCCTAGTAAGGACTAAGTATTTAAATAAATTAGAATCTATGGCCACACTCCCATCCGCTCGCTGGTAGCCGATCCCACCTTGCGTAGTAACAAACAAATAAAATTATAATAACGTACACGGTTTCCTACCTATTAAGGCGATTACATGGCCGAACGACCTTGAGCATTAGAGCGAGACAACGCGCCTCACGCCGCGCGCCCGCGCTTCTGCCCGATACCAAAGTGCGCTCAGAATACAGATGCGAAGCGCTGCCAATTCTAACATAACTGCCTACGGGAATGTTAACTCGATTTTAATTTACGCAGATCGAAAAAAATTGCGATGAATGATTATATTTCAATTAGACATCATTATACTTTAATTAGTACCATAACTATGAAAAATAAACAGTTATTTCCTACTGTAAAGTTTGCAAAAAGGGACATACCTAAGCAGTTTGAAAGTTAGGCTGACGATATTCGTGTGTCTAAGTGAGCTTCTAAACAGTTTTTAAGTGTGTGTACGAGTACCTACCTAAATGTAAATGTCTGTCTGTGCAGGTATTCAAAATATTGGTCAAATATCGGTCAACATTGAATAAAATATTTTTGATCATCGAATACAATTTAAGACTTTACTTTCTCCGTTATTATTTTTTGGTAAAATCGAGAGAAAAATAAGATTTTAGATTTTTGCGTTCCATTTCAACTAAAATAAATAAACACGGATTGAGAGACATTTTTATATGAGTTACATGTCAAGTACGAATACGAATACTGTGTGTCGAGGTAACGCCACTACAATGTAACATTTTGACAATATGAGGGTAGTTTAAAATATTTAAGCCCACCCGAACGGACAAATTCCGCCAGCTGCCAGTCTGCTTGTGATCACGGCTGCATCATAGGCAGCCGAAAAATCAAGCCACATACAAAAACAGACTTCTTTTTCTATGCGGTTATTATTTTTGATTTGATTTTGAAATAAATCATATAAAAAAGCTATGAAAAACAGTATATCAGAAAAGATGGAGATGTTTGAAGAAACTTTTGATGGATAATTTTTTGTATTATTTTCACATTTTCATCACTAAACTTTGAATTTTTGTCGAAATCCAATATCTAATTACTACAAGTGATATTTAGTTATTATCGTTGAAAAGAAGAGATAATTAGATGTTTTTAATGATCTTAAAAACAATCTACTAACACACATTTCATTTTTTTAATCAATTTCAAGTTTTTTATCGTGTTTTATACTTTTGTTAAACTTTGGCTGCTCGTAATTAGCTATCCAATCATTATCTGGATATAAAATGTTTTTATTAGATTAAAGACATATTGGATCTTCATACCAAATAAAAAAAAATTGGTTTTAGGTCAAATTACGGAAAAAAATAAAATAAAAATATCAATAAAAAAGTAGCTCAGTTAGGGTCAAATGGGCGAACCTTTATTCAAAATGACCTTACATACGAAGTTTGTCTAACGTTCTACCAAACACCTGTAGGTATATTTTATACTAGCGGCCGCCCGCGACTTCGTACGCGTGGATCCCGTTTTACCCCCTTCATCTATCTTACGCGGTTTAGATTTTTTCATACAAATGTTTTTTCCCGCTAACTCCCGTTCCCGTGGGAATTTTGCAATATCCTGTTGTAACTAAGCTTTAAGTTTACTAAGGTACCTGCATGCCAAATTTCAAGCGTCTAACTTAAGCGGTTTAGATTTTTCTTACAAAAGGATTTTCCCGCTAATTCCTGTTCCCGTGGGAATTCCTAAGTATACTATAACCTGCCCAGGAGTATGAAGAATAATTGTACCAAGTTTCGTTAAAATCCGTCGAGTAGTTCTTGTTTCTATAAGGAACATACAGACGGACAGACGGACAGACAGACAAAAATTTTACTGATTGCATTTTTGGCGTCAGTATCGATCACTAATCACGCCCTGATAGTTATTTTGAAAATATATTTCATGTACAGAATTGACCTCTCTACAGATTTATTATAAGTATATAGATATTATTATCAGGGATCGAAATAGGTGGTACCTAACCTTATTCGCAACGAGATGATTGAGCTGGATGAATCGAAAATTCCCTGGGAAAAATTCCGATTTTTTGTGGAGACCAATGAGATAAAAAAAAATCATACCAGCCAAAACCAATATACCAAACGGGGTACCCTGTACGTACATTAATTACCAATCGAAACGCAAAATGCACAAAAGTGATGTGATAGTTTCCAAGAAATTAATAAAATACGGTTTTGTTAATTACAGAATTTAAATAATCCTTTGTAGGTATTGTATTGTTGTCTTGTGATTTCCTATACCTAAGTGCGTTGTTTTATTATTATTACCTACTAATACATAATAAAAAAATACCTATGTATATCTCGAAGTATACAGGGTGTCCCAAAAACAATGGATAACCCCGTAGCCATCGATAGGCCTTGCCATGGTCTCCCTAACGTCCAATTTTGACCCCAGTAAAAATATCACCGTTTTCAAGATTTTTAAGTTTTTGTGCATTTTTAGAAAATTGCAACCTGCGATTACTTTTTCTCATGCCATTTCTACAAATGAGGATACTTTTCAATCTAGTTTTTTTCCTTATCACAAGGGATAGTTGGGCTATCAAAAGAAAAGATTAAAGTTCAACAAACTAGTTTAAAAGTATGAAAATTTTAAGAAATTGCAGAGAAGAAGGAAAAATTAATTCATTGTCTTGCACTTTTGATCAGCCGTCGTGTAAAAAAAATGTAGGAAGACCATCGTGCCCATTACCCTTAAAACTTCATTGGTTAATTGAGATTCTAAAAAGGTATCACAAGCCTATGTATTCTGTATTATTTTTGTCTTATGGCTACTTGAATAGCAACTAGTATGAAAACTGCAAAAATGAGTTTTTCTCGTAATAGTTAAACTAGGACTGCATAGTGGCATTAAATACAAATGGATAATTTTTAGCGTAGGAATTTTAATAAAGCAATATTTTATCATCATCATAAAAATAGATAATCAGCATCTTGTATACCTATGTATTTAAATTATCTTAAACATTTTATAATACCTATACATATTTAAAATGACGTAGTAAGTACTTAGATCACTTTCATTCAGCCGCCGAACTACTATGAGTACCGAGTGTACCATCTGCGCTATAAATTCTTTATAGAAAAACAAAGAAGCGGAGCGTGCCGATGTGCGACACAGCCTCCCCGTGCGAACGCTAGTGAAAGACTGAGCTCCCGCATTCGCGCGGCCCGCGTGTGGAAATTACAGGGTATTTTGAATGTATGACACGTAATACATTATTTTTGAAAAAAAATGAACAACAATTTTTTAGATAATTAAATTTTCTATCATTTGGTGAAAGAATCATTAAAATCGCTTCAGCCGTTTAGGAGGAGTAGGAAATTTCTTTGGTGAAATTAGAAGAAAGTTAAGAATTTTTTCTGTCAAAACTAATAGTTGTAACAAAAAAAACGAACAACAATTTTTTAGTTTAAGATATTATACATCTCACACATATTTTTTTTTCTTGTTTGGATCATCCATTTAGGAGGAGTAGGGATTCAAAGAGAGGTCTATTTTGCAGTTTTGCCTCACCTATCGCCTTAAGAGATAGGTGGTGGAATAATGATTTATCAAAATGTCCGCTAAGATAAAAAATAAACCTCCCAGTAGTACCAATAATAATAACAACTGTGTTGCCAAAGCCCATACAAACTATTAATAAAGGTGTCTATTGATAACAAATTAAAATACTTAACTATTTATTGTTGTATTGGTTCTCAGCAAGCGGGTTCGATCCAATTATTCGCTGATTATGATAAAAGTATTGGTAACTACTTTGTGGATGCTGATGGCAATGAATTTTTGGATGCATTCACCCAAATCTCATCAATTCCTATTGGATATAACCACCCTGAATTACTTACTGCATTCAACGATGAACACAATCTGGTGAGTCTTTTTACATACCTAAGCTACTAGCTAGATAGAGCTCAAATAGGTATTATGTACCGGTAGCACGCGTGACTCTGATATTAGAAAATTGCTATATTCCTGCTCTATTAACCACGAGATATACTCGTCCACAATTGTTTTGAACTGCAACATTGCGATTTGGTGCTGGTTTGCTAGCGCTCAGATTTTGTAGAAGCTTTTGTGTAACAAACCGAAGCCGGGTTGCGGGTTCGGGGGTTTTAATTAATAACACTGCGGAACAAAAAAAATTAAAAAATCTGCGGCATCTATTTTGTTAATGGTTTTTGTAAACACATATATTAGACATAAATGGTGTGCATTTACTTTCTTTGGATTGACTCTGGTTCTTGAGATAAACGAGACGCAAGAAATCAATGAAAAAAATTAAACGACCTTCCCTAAACTTAATATTAATTTGATTATACCCCACAAGTTTTATTTTCTACTCATGTATTAGTGTAGTTGTGGTTACAACAATTTAGTAATCAGCTACTAGACCTTGAAATTATCAGTTTGTGTCTTTTAAATTAATTTTTAAAGAGCTTTTTGTCTCAAAAAATATGAGTTCATTATGAAAACTTTACGTTTACAACCCCAACAGTTTTTGTTAATATTTGGCTTGTAAACTTACAAAAGCAAAGAAATAAGATCACGGAGGTAGTGATAAAAACCTACCAAGCATACTTTGGTATAAACTTCCATAAAAGAATAAATATTGGGGGTCCAATATCGTCTGCAAGCCTTGTGTAGACTCTTTGTCATACTGGAGCCAAGCTGGACGTAAAGGACTTCAATTTGGAAGGCCAAAGATATGAACTGAGCTTTCTAATCGCTAAAATGATCAAAAATCAGGCAAATTAAAGTCCTTTACGTCCTGAAACGTCCGTTTGAATACGGAAAAAATAAATTCGATTGACCGCAAATCCGTACTCTTATAAAAGACACTGTATTTGTAAACCACATAACACAAATTGAATCTGAAGCATGGCTAAGCATTGTTTTAGTAGTCAAACAATATTTGGGGAGGCATAGAGCACCAGACTTTTCAGGATTGGTTGCTAAATTGTTTTAAAAATTTTACACATAAGGAGCTAATTTGAGTATTAAATTATTTTTTTTACAATAACCATTTGGACAGGTTCTCCCATAATCTGGGTGATTACAGTGAGGAATAAGCAGAACGGTTCTACCAGAACATCAGGATAGTGGAAGAATGATATCCACGGTCAATGGGACCGCCAGATGATGGCTGATTGCTGTTGACATAATTATGGAATTTTCCTGACCAAAACCATAACATAAAAGCTTACAGAAAAAGCTTTTTGTAGTTTTTTTTTGTATTATTTGATGAAAAGCAAATATATTTTTAATTTTTATATAGTTCTTAAATAGGATCTTAGTGTGAATATTTTTTTTATACAGATTGGTATTTTTATTTTGATTTTTTCATATAAATGGTTAATAGTATTTATCTCAAGATCTAGAGTCAATTTGACAAATCTAATATTTTTCTAGTATTCAGCACACTAGTTGCATACAGAATTGACTCCAAACTACCATGCCGCAAAATGACTGTTCCCCAGTGTAATAAAACTTATACATATAGATGACTATACCTACTTGTCACATTTTTTTCTTGTTACCAATACAAACAGGATACTACTTCATACGTACCTACCTACCTTTATTTCCAGAAAGCTTTAGTAAATCGACCAGCATTAGGAGTATTCCCTTCAAAGGATTGGCCCGAGAAAGTAAAAAGTGTATTGTTATCAGTTGCACCTCAGGGCCTGAATAATATTTCGACAATGATGTGTGGCTCTTGCTCCAATGAAAATGCGTATAAAGCAGTATTTATGTGGTACCGTACCAAGGAGCGTAATGGAAAAATTGATTTTACACCTGAGGAAATGGAATCTTGTATGTTGAATCAAGCGCCTGGAGCACCAAAACTCTCAATAATGTCTTTTAAGGTAAAATCTTTTACATATATCTATATGAGACTTAATATTATGTAACTAGTTTACTCAAAAATACTTACATTGGTTTTTTTAAAGGTCTTTACACGATTGGATAATTAAATACTAACGGATTTTATTTTACTTTTTTCAGGGCAGTTTCCACGGACGCACTTTTGGTGCTTTGTCTACGACCAGGTCTAAACCGATCCACAAATTGGACTGCCCAGCTTTTGATTGGCCTGTGGCTCCATTCCCGAGATACAAATATCCTTTATCAGAGTTTGAATCGGAGAATCGACAAGAAGATGAGAAGTATTCACAATCATTTAAAAAATTAATGTATTTTCTAGTGGCAGTTCTGAATTACATAACTTTCTTTTTATTTCTTATTATTTTCAGGCTTACAATTATCTTTTCTTGTCCATAGAAGTGAGTTGAAAATCATAATAGTTTGTTTGGGTTATCTATTAATTTTATGTATAATTGCACTTAGTTATACTTTACCCACCTTGAACTAGAGACAAAAGAATTGATTTATTAATATTTTTAGTTGGGCTGTTATTGTTTTTAACCTACATTATGTTATGTATAATTTATTTTTATCGACGTTGGTGGTGCACAGACTATCGTATAGCTTGATTACTTTTATTTACATACACATACTATTTTCTCCTCACAATAAAATTACTATCTGTCTGTTAATTAAATCACTGCACTTGATGTTTTACCTTGGGTTCATTTCATCTAGGTATTTACCTATTTTAGCGCATAATATTGCTTCTTATCAATGTTAACAAGCATGTCCTTATAATAATTGATCAAATAGATAACTATGTATACATATAAATAAGGCTATTATAATAATTAGATATATTATGAGTATAAACTGTATGAAAAACTATGCTTATTTTCAAGTCAAATGGCAAATCCGAAGGAGGTAGATGGGAATAATAAAGGGTGGGAAACCCTCTTACGAGATGCGTCATCGATTTTTTTTAGTGTTATAATTCTCTACATAGGACTCGATTTAGCATTTTGTAAATCGTTTCAGATGTCTAGAGCAAGTGGCTGATGTCATTCACACTTACAAGAAAAAAGCCAATCCCGTGGCTGGGATAATAGTCGAGCCCATACAATCAGAGGGCGGGGATTACGAGGCTTCTCCTAAGTTCTTTCAAAATCTTCAAAAAATATGCAAAGAGGTATGTCCTTAATGATATACAGGCTGAAATTGAAATCATTGGCATCCATGTATTTAAATTTCACTTGTAGGTACTGTTATATTCCTATGAATTTATTTCCTGTATATTATTGGCTTGAATTTATTATTCGGTATCAAAAGTAAAGTGTAAAAAGATTACACAAATACCGTTTACACAAGCTCATTAGAAGACAAGTACCTATTAAAATTTTTCAGAATGGCGTTGCCTTGATTGTCGATGAAGTACAGACAGGATGCGGACCTACCGGCAAGATGTGGTGTCACGAACATTTCGATCTGCCCTCTCCTCCAGACGTTGTTACGTTCAGCAAGAAAATGCTGACAGGTGGATTCTTCTTTAATTCTGACTTCAGGTAAAAATAACATATTTTTATTTTATTCTAGTATTTACTAGCTGTGTCCGCGACTTCGTAAGCGTCAAAATAGTTTGAATAATATTTCCCGTTCTTGAAACATTTTTTTACTGCTCCACCCCTAATGGCTGTAGGGTATTTAAACAAACAAAGGTTTAGGAAAACCTACATTAATGTGTACAGTAGGCATTTTATTATATTTTAATTACATTTTACGTTTGTATTAAAATTATTACCGATATTTAATTATGTATACCTACCATGTTTTAAGCAAATAAATAAATAATCTTATCTTATCTTATTACAGGGCTCCACAGGCGTACCGTATATTCAACACATGGATGGGAGACCCAGGAAAATTAATTCTTTTGGAGCGAGTTTTGAACGTCATCAAAAAAGAAAACCTTTTGAATTTGGTCTCAGAAACTGGGAATGTTCTTAAAGGTGGCCTTCACGATCTTGAAAAAGAATTCCCTAATCTGATGAACAGCGTGCGCGGTCGCGGAACATTCTTGGCTTTCAATTCATGCAGTACTGAGATGCGAGATAAGATTAATAATAATCTAAAGACAAATGGTAAGTTCTGTTGTTATTGCCATTATAACCTAAGATAACAGCTAAAGTATGTTTTTCAAATAATATTTGAAAAACAAGTCCATTAAGGTAGTAGGTTTACGCTGAAACTGATAGGTACGGGTGTACGCTTTCGTGGTTTTATTGAAAAAAAAAATTGTCGCAAGGTTCCTCGTCCTAACGCTCTTTAATTTTCAGTTTGAGGGCGTGTGTTGACGAGTTTCTTTAAAAATGATCCGGCGCCGAACATGCGTGTGTTGAGGAGCACATGTAGAAATTAGTTATTGAAATTCGTCAAAACTTCAAAGTTTAGGGGAGTAAATGGAATCCCATCAAAAACAATACTTGTCAAAAAAACCAAGTCTCGCAACTCAGTTGTTCTACGGTAAAAAGTTGTGAGATCCATGTAATACCAAGTCCAGGCCAGGAAATCTTTAACGTTTTACATAAATTATTGACTTGGCCATCGCACTAAATAATTTAATTTACACGTGTTTTCATGCGATGGCCAAGTCAATATATTTGGGNCGCCAAGAGTATGGGGTCGCCATGGAAAATGCTACCGAGGGATTGCACAGCAGTAGGTAGGCTTAGTGCGAGTTTACATAAAACTGCATGAAAACTTAAAGTAACGCCCTTATTCACAAACATTACTATGATTCTCTCTCTATGTTATATCTTACGGTCCGCGTGGACGCACAGGGTGATAAACGAATCATTCACAGAGCTCTATTCAATGATGTGCGTTTGATTTGCTGCTTACTGGTGTAAAAGTATGATAGATTTTACAGCATCTCTAGCGTATAGTTCAAGAAATAAAATCTTCATAGATTTTTTGACGCATTCGCTAGTGACTACGTTCATGCAAATTCGCACTAAGCACATAGTGTGCTTACCATAAGTTTACGTTAGGTGTGCTCGCTAGTGAGTGCGTCAAAAAATCTGAAGATTTTAGTTCTTCAGAGTAGCCGCTAGGAGCGCTGTATAATTTGTCATGCGATTTATATCTTTTTTTACGTAGTCACTAGCGAGTACACCTAACGTAAACTTGTGATAAGCACACAGCTCTACATATTCGTAGTACGTAGCTCGTAGTATAACAAAGTTGCTACGGCTACGCGTTTAGTGTCTTTTAAACTACGTAACGGATTGTAATGCAGTTTTTATCAATTGGGAGGTAGTAAGTGTTGCAAAAATAAATTCAGTACCTACGAATATTAAATTCAGTACCTACGAATCCGGGGCGGGCCACTAGTGAATAATATTTATTATGTTACCAGCCAAACCCGCAAGTATAGGCCAATTTAATTTGGTCTGAATTTATCCTACCCATCATGTCAGGAATGTAGCCTACGAGAATGTAGTCCAGTAATATAGAAAATAGAAACAATATTTAGCGTAGGACGAAATAGTTTTTTACAGATAACGAAGTAAAAACGTCTGGACAGCCGTCATTTTAGCCGACTGCGCCAGAAGGAGGGCTATGTTTTTTAATTAACATTTTCTAAATCTAATTTTCCCTACAAATCGCAAACTACGAACACCGCAGTACAAACCTCTACAATGCTTCAGCGGTACAATTTATAGGAGCCTTTGTCCCACTTCCGGTTGCATTTAACGTTATTTAATACCTTATAATAAATGTAAGGCTTTAACTGACAAATGACTTTCGTTTATTCCCTAAATCATGCAGTTCTCGTATATTTTATTGTAAGTTAGGTTATATAATAATATCACTCATTCATTTCGTAATACAATAGAAAACTCTTAAGTAACTAGTTAACTGCTAACTTAATTATTTTGTAACTTAACTATTTATTTTAATCAAATACAGTAAATAAAAGAACAAAAGCATACATTCATTTAATCACAACACAATAATAACTCAAAGGTGACTTACTCGTAACTGACTGACTGACTGACAAAGTGATCTATCAACGCACAGCCCAAACCACTGAACGGATCGGGCTGAAATTTGGCATGCAGGTAGACTCCACCCCTAAGGGGGTAAAACGGGATCCACGTGTACGAAGTCGCGGGCGGCCGCTAGTCTTTAATAAAATAATTAGGTATAATCTCAATAAAGTTAGGGCTTTATATCACAGAGTAAAAAGGAACAAACCCCGTATATTATACGCAAGTGCCATTTAAATTCATCGTCAAACAACAAACATCCATTCTCAAAGTTTAGGTAACTTTAAACCAATGTTGTAACCACTTAAAGAGTAATTTCGTTTACATTCCTGCTTTGTGCCAAAAGTCCGCTTCGCTAAATGTCTCAAAAAGGCTATCAAAATGTCTAGACTATTTTCCTTTTTAACTTTAAATTTGTTACTAGGTATGTGGGCCTAGACACTGAAAAGTAGAGACACCAAGGGCCTATTACAAAAAGTTGAAGGAGCGTTGAACACTTCATTTTTAAAACAGAGTTCAACGCGCGTTTAGTTTTTTGTAAGGCCCCAAGCTTTCGAAGTTTAATAAGTACTAAAAAGATAAAACAGAGACCACAGTAGGCCGCTTAATTTAGTACTTTACATATTAAGTTAGATCTTTGTACACGTGCGAGAAAAATATTTTTATAGTATTTATGTTTTTGCATAAAAAAAAACCTACCTAATAAGTACATGCACAGAATAATAATAAGTACCTACTACCACAGAATAATAATAAGTACTACGTACAGAAGTTTTACTTCGCGAAGGTATTTAAAAAAATGTATGCTCAATGTCATTAACAATATGGTGTAATTTAGCTTGTCTCAAGAGTCAATCACCATTTTGTTCACAAACGTCTGTCAGTGATCGGTACTGCGCCGAAGCTATAGGGCTGACTACGGTAAAATGATGTGACGTAAGGTGACAAACTGCAGAAAATGGCGGAGGAAATATGATTTAGCATGAATTATCATAAATATTATTAACTACTTATTTACCTCTCAGTGTCTTCAGGCAACTTAAAAAAGTACATTCTGTGTTTTTATCATTATTTAGGCAGTTAAATACTGCACAGTATTTAGTACACCGTTTTCTTCATTTTTTTTCCATCATACACAAGAATACGCGTGCGTGAGTCAATGATCGCTCGTATGTGAGGCCTTTAGGCCTAAGATGCGCGCCGCGATAAGCGGTTATCACACCATTTTATTGATTTTGTCCATAATTTTGACGTCGATAAAAATTATCACGGCGCGCATCTTAGGCCTACTGGTCGAATAGTAATCCTGTAGGTGGCCATCGTGCGTGTTTTGTTTTCGATGTAAACTCGCGGAGATGAACAGGCCTGGTACATGTAAAATCAGCTGTAGTAGTTGTTCATTCGTTCGTTCGTTTCAGCCGAAAGACATCCACTGCTGGATAAAGGCCTCCCTCAAAGATTTCCACAAAGACTGGTTCTGCGCCGCTCGCATCCATGCACCTCCCGCGACCTTCGCCAGATCGTCGGTCCACCTTGTTCGAGGCCTGCCCACGCTACGTCTTCCGGCTCGTGCGTAGCCGTAGTAGTTGTAATAGAAAGTTATTTTAATTCATCTGTCGGCTCAATGGTGCCGTGTAAAATGTATAGCGTAATTATTTTATTTGATTATCCCGTTTAATCTAATGTTCTAAATTTTTGAGTGCACAATAAATTGTACTACATACAATTTTAATCTAAAATAGCACCTTTTAGTGTTACAGGATGCCGGATTTAACTTGATTTTCGTTCACTATTCTTTAATTTTTCTTGCTAAAATCATTTGTTCGTTTGCTGAAAGGAATGCGCACTCATTGGATTTGGGCCAACCCCGGTGATTTGACCAAAGAGTTATGGTGAATTCATCAACGTTACACAAACTGTTTTCTGTGGTAAATATAAAGCTATATTCGTTTTCTTAGATATTTCGAGTGTTCTATTGTGTGGGTGGAGAGTTTATTAGAGTTGAGTAAATATCTCTGTTTGGCCTTCGGGAGTAGGTACTATGGTTTTAAAGATTCAGTTCTGCAGTGGTAATTGCATTGATCTATGAAGTTTCTTGGTTAGATAAGATTGCTGTCTTGTTTGTAGGTACAGTAGGCGCGCGAGTTCATGTCCATCCAGAGGAATGCGGTAGTGCTGTTACCTAGCTAATTATGATAATGTCGATATCGATAAATTATTACCAATTAAGTACCTTATCTACTTATTCCATATTTTTTGCAACTTATAAGTAAGTATAAGTATAAGTAAATAAGCAAGTAAGTAAGGCTCCGATGGACATGAACTCGCGCGCCTACAGTATCTATTGCAGCAAGATTACCCAAAAAAAATTTTGTTTAGTAGACCATTACATAGAAGAGGTTTAGATTTGAAGGTTTTGGGAATATTCAATGGGATTCTTGGCAGTAACAAAAAAAAAATACTGAGAAATTTCGAGTTTCTAGTTAAAACTAAATAATTCCCTACCAAAATCTAAATCATTTGTTGAACTCAAAGCAAGTCAATCATAAAAGAAATTTAGTTTTCTACAAATAGACTTTAATAATAGTAAGTAATAGACTTTAGTAGTAAAGTAGTAGACTTTAGTAGTATAGTAAGTATAATATTAACCTTAAAACTGCTTCGGGACAATAAATGGATCAGTGCAGACTGCTGAAAAGAAGTAGCGCACGTAATACAACACAAAATTGCTTACGTAAAATACCTACAAAACTTTTTCAAATCAGTGTTAATAGAGTCATTCCACCACCCACGTTGATATAACATTTTTAAGTGTGTTTAGTGATAAATAAACGTCATGTCTGTTTCTAAATGAAAGCAAGGCTAGTTTTTTAGTCTATCTAATAATATTTCCGCCTGATAAATTGGTCTGACGACTGGAAATTAATATACGAGCATTATTTAGCGATACGAATAATGTTTTTTTAAACCCGGTAGTGTTTGTTATTGCCAAAAAGATTTTGACAAATCGTTGATGTTTTTATGAATGGAAAAAGTTACAAAATGAAATTTCGTACATCTACGTCATTTGCTTATAATAAGGCCTTCTTAGAAACCACATTTTTTAAATATTCGTTAGTTAAAACGATCTCAGATGTAAACAAGTGCGAGTCGGGCTCGCGCACAAAGGGTTCCGTAGCAGCAAATATAATAAACTTATTATGTCAATTTAATCAACCTATCTCAAAAACTATAAGAGATACTTTGATCAAACCAAAAATCGTTGAAAGAGTTAATTAGCATGCATCACCTCTATTTTTTTTAGAATTTTATACCCCGTAGTTATAAAAATAGAGGGGGGGGGACATACTTTTTACGACTTTGAGAGCTGATATCTCAAAAACCGTTCACTTTAAGAAAAATGTTTTTTAGAAAACTTTATATCATTTTAAAAGACCTTTCCATTGATACCCCACACGGGTATGTACATCGAAAAAAAATTTTCATCCCTCAGTTACATGTATGGGGGGCCCCACCCCCAATTCTTTTTTTTACTATTTAGTGTCATAATTTTGTAGCGGTTCATACAACACATATTCCCATCAAATTTCATCACTGTAGTACTTATAGTTTCCGAGTAAATCGGCTGTGACAGACGGACAGACGGACAGACGGACAGACGGACAGACAAGTTCGATGATTCATCATTTTCATGCATTTATTGATTTTTGAAAGTGCAGAGAATCATATAATGATTATTGATATTGATAGAACTAGTTATTTGAAGCATCTGTCATTATAGTGCGAAAGTGTGGGTTCATTGTCTGTTCAGTTATTTAAGTGACAAAAAAGTAGTTTTCATGTTACTTCATTTTCCACCAGTTCATCCATTATAATCTGAGCAATATTTATAAAACCTTCCTCTCACGAAGCCCAGGTGTATCTACGCCGTGTACCAATATCTCCACGACAGCTTATACACAAATGATTAGCCACTTCACACAACAAACGGAATCTGAGTCGAATATTCACATATAGTCCGGTCGCCGAGCACGTAGAAGTTTGGCCAATGACCCCAAGCTACCCATCCTTATCGCTCGCACGTAATTATACCTATTGCTGTCGCGATTGTGCGACGGGCGGCCGCAGTGAGTGTGCGAGCGCGACAGCAACATAGATTCGTGCGAGCGAAAAAGATGGATAGCTTGGGGTCATTGGACGAAATTCTACGTACTCGGCGACCGGGCTTTAACAATGATGTTTAACGATAACGCAAGCAGGTAGCCGTTTGATGTAACGCGAGTCGCATGGATAACTGGATGACCTTCACTTCAGTTTTCAATGTCCCCGTCTCATTCACTGACGGGTATGCTCCGAGCCATCCTATTGGCTGGCATGTTTGCTCGTTTCTTCCCGGCCACAGCGACACTGCTAGCGCGGGCCACGGATGTATCTTTTTCGTTTCGTCATCGCGTCATTTGATCGCTAACTTAGAGCGGTCGGTTGATAATTGTTTTGGATCATGAGTTTCTAACAAAACATATATATATGTAATTATTTTCAAGTTTGCCAACACTTTAAAAGTCAATAAATGTATGAAAATGATGAATCATCGAACTTGTATGACTTTGTTCTGAGTGGTCCTACAACTTTTGTGCCATATTAACTATTGCTCCAAATAGCTAGTTCTAACAATACGTACCATAATTTTTTGTTGGCCGGCACTTTTAGAAAAGGCCCAAAAAGAATGATGTCCTTAGACGTATGCAATACTTTTTGTACTCAGTATACCTCATTAACTGTTACTGTGCCAACACAACCTAATTCTAATTTTTTTTGTTAATTTCCCACCTAGATAGACAAACGTTAGGACTTTCGGTTCCTGAATTTCACGCGAGGGAATTCCGGGAAGACAGCTGGTCTGTTAGCCAACATTATTGTCCCAGAGCTGTGATAATACGAGTGCCAATTAAGTTTTTTAGGATAATATTATTCAAAACACACTAATCCCCATACAGTTTTGAGTTATAAAGGTAGAATCAACCGGCCCGTCTGTAAATCATTAGGGGAGGCATTTTCAGCAGTAGTTGTCATGTGGCCGAAATGATGATGATGATGATGAATTCTTAGTTATGACGTCACATTTCTACTAAGTCAATTGAACTATTTATTGATTTTGAAATCGATTTTTAAGAACTGATTTTTGATGGATTTCGATTATCGTAGTTATTCGTAATTTTAAATCTCATTATTTAAAACTACCCACTTTGGATATACTCTAGTATGCGGCATTGGAGCAGAATTACTTACCTTCGCAAAAACAAGTAATATTGCGTCTTATTGATTCCGGTAAGAGCATTGGGATCTAAGCAAATATTTCCCCTTAGATTCACTGGTCCATCTCTTGGACTGTATCCAAGGAAGGGTGGATCTCAGACTATGAGCAGTGATGTAACGATTGACAGTTCGACTATCGATAGTCCGACCTCTACCTGCATATTGAACTTATTTGTACAATTTCCGAACGTATCCGAAATACGCGATATCGTAGAGAGACTGAAGTCAGTAAAATATTGTTTTACAGACAATGCTATCAATTTCAAGTAATTATTGTATACTTTCAACTATTTTCACTGTTCATTTTAAATTACAGTATAAAAAGATACCGGGTTATATTTTATACGCCAATTACGGTGTTATAGACTTATTATGCACTATAATAGGATAGTAGTCTGTTGTTAAAGCTGTTTAGTTTGAACTGTATGCATCGTCAAAATGCAAACGTATTGGTATTGGATCACATTACACAATGTTATCGATACTTGTACATCAGATCGGTCCCATCACTACTCTAAGACTGTATTGCTTCCTTCCTACTGAGTTTTAAAGTGTGAGTCACTTGGTGGTATTGTACTTTTGGCAGGAGCGCGACATGAATTAAATATTTGGCTGCGTTCTGGATGCATTTATTGAATTTATGTGATAGTAAAGCTTTCGCCTTTTGTGTTAAGTACCATGAGTTATTTTTATGTAACTCAGGCTATGATTATGAGAGGCAAATCAAGAGGGTATGCGATTGAGTGCGGATATATTGAGTTTACGTTTGGATTCTCTATACATTTTTAGTATACCTACTCGTATGTATGTAAAATGTATACGCCGCATCTCAAAAAATTAGACAACATACTATTTTCATGCAGTATACAAACACCCCCATAAGGTGGACAGACGACCTCTGGAAGGCCCTGGAGATAGGTTGCTACTGCTAATCTAGAAACCATTAGAGGACCGACGATCCAGGTGAAGGTCGCGGGTACCAAGATGCGGGCAGCGCAGAGCCGGTCATTGGGCAAATCCTTGGGGAGGCCTTTGTCCAGCAGATGACGTCATTTGGCTGAACGAGCAGTGGAAACTAAATGAACTTTTTCTTTACAGTGTCGACTTCAGAAACGGGCCGCCAGTCCACTGGGCAGTCGCTGGCGAGTTCGGGACCCGAACCCACTTCGTTCTAAACGAGTCTGACCCATCGTCGGCCCACCTGTCAGTTGAGAAGGTGGCTCACCACGACGAGGGAATGTATAGGTGTAGAATAGACTATGTGGACAGCCCTACCAGGAATTATAGGGTGAATTTGACTGTTATAGGTAAGTTGAAAAGGTTAAAAAAACTTTTAAACTGTTAAAATACTAGTATATTATTTTATATTCAAAGGCCCAATGGCATTTGACCAAAGTTTAGTCGCATTTCATTTATATTGCAGTAGTAATTTAATTACACTGGTTTTGCAGTTAAAACAGCCACTATCAACTAAGTAGGTAGTCGAGCAGGATTTTAAGTTTAATAGTTGTAGATAGATAGTTTCATCGAAAGTAGTAAATAAGTACCGTTCAAATTTAAAAAAATATTTAAGCATGTTTATATCCGTTGTCTAGTACCCATAGTAAGCTTTGCTTAGTTTTGGACTAGAAGCGTAGTATAAAATGTCCAGGGATATTTATTTATTTATTATTTATTAAATATTGAAAAGATAATTTCTTTCAGTTCCGCCAGAATCGCCTCGGATATACGACTCCGAGGGCAGAGAAATTCTAGGCCCGATTGCCGGACCTTTTAGGGAAGGTCAGGATTTGCTGCTGTCCTGCGCAGCCGCTGGAGGTAAGAGCGTTTTTTTTACCTTTCATTAAAATACAAAAATATTTATTGTAAGTTAAAATAAATATGAGGTTATCTGATGAGAAAAGTTGCTGCTAAATGAAACTGAATCTTAGACTGGGTTGCACCATCTTACTTTAATTTTGGCAAACGTCAAAAATCTGTCAAACTCCATACAAAATGCACCCGTTATCATCATTGTTATCGTTAAAGTTAGGTGGTGCAACTCAGCCTTAGAGTATACTCCTAATAGATAGTTGAGAGTGAATTTTGGTAAATGAAATGGATAGATATGATCGCGTTCGCCTGATAAAGTCAGACTGAAATGTTCACGAGCAAAAAAAAGCTTTTTAATTCTACAAACATTACTTTTAAATATAGTTCGTTCGTTTCAATCAAATAGCGTCCACTGTTAGACAAAGTGCTCCCCTAACGATTTCCACTACGACCGGTCTTGCGCCGATGGACCGACGATCTTCTGCCCACACTACGTCTTCCGGCCCGTGTTTGCCACTCAAGAACTTTTCTTCTAACGGCACTAGGAGCTATAAAATATGCCCCGTCCAAAACATAGCTCACAAAATAATGTTTTTTCTTCAGGCAAACCCCCACCAGACGTATCCTGGTGGAATGGCAACGACCGGCTGGCCATCACAAAAGGAGGGTCCGTATGCCAACTTCTACTCCAGAGTTTATCAAGGGAGACCTCAGGAACACGACTCCATTGCAAAGTGGAACCCCCACTGTTGCAGCCGATAGTTAGGGAGGTCACGGTGAAATTGTTTTGTAAGTATTCATTTTTTATTTTAAACTAGCTGACCCGGCGAACTTTGTTCCGCCTTAATGGCAATAAATAACGGGATAAAAAGTATCCTATGTCCTTCTCCTGGCTCTAAACTACCTCCCTGACAATTTTCAGCTAAATCGGTTCAGCCGTTCTTGAGTTATAAGTGGAGTAACTAACACGACTTTCTTTTATATACAACGTGTCCCAAAATTCAAGGATAAGCCGGCGCCGCAGGGTGGACATAGTCATGACTGCTTTAGGAAAAATAAGAAAAAAAATCTATCTCAATTATTTTTTAAGTTACACAATAAATTATGAAATTCGTCGAAAATTGACACCCCTTATGATATTTTACATTACCACGACTACAATTTTTCAAATACTTCAGTTTTTTTGTTTGTATCGGCAACTTAAGTAGTGCTGCTGTCCACCCCAATTCTTAAAACCCTCAAAATCCTTGCAATTTTTACACAAAAGTTAATCAAAATATGATATTTCCTTAAAATTTTGAACGATTTTTACTTACACTCCACTTTGACTCGTCGTTTTGTAAAAAAAACAGTATGAACACTACTGCGGCAAGTTTTTTATAAAGTTGACGCAACTATCCAAGATTCCGAAATGGTATAATACTCCGCCGTTTCATTAAGAGTTCTTATGGCCACCTTCATACTCCATCCAGCTCAATGGTACCATAATATTGCATTGTCATCGTACTTACACAAGTATACCAAATTTCAGCTCAATTGGTTAAGGAGAACTGGTTTTAAATTCAGTTGCAAGATTTATCCCATACTAACTAACAAGCGAAGTGCTTGTAAAAATGGTACGCATATCTTTTTTGCGACTAGTTTTCTTATAGTATTATACCATTTCGGAATCTTGGATAGTTGCGTCAACTTTATAAAAAACTTGCCGCAGCAGTGTTCATACTGTTTTTTTACAAAACGACGAGTCAAAGTGGAGTGTAAGTAAAAATCGTTCAAAATTTTAAGGAAATATCATATTTTGATTAACTTTTGTGTAAAAACTGCAAGGATTCTGAGGGTTTTAAGAATTGGGGTGGACAGCAGCACTACTTAAGTTGCCGATACAAACAAAAAAACTAAAGTATTTGAAAAATTGTAGTCGTGGTAATGTAAAATATCATAAGGGGTGTCAATTTTCGACGAATTTCATAATTTATTGTGTAACTTAAAAAATAATTGAGATAGTTTTTTTTTCTTATTTTTCCTAAAGCAGTCATGTCTAGGTCCACCCTGCGGCGCCGGCTTATCCTTGAATTTTGGGACACGTTGTATATAAGATTGTGACCAGCGATGTTGGATTTAAGCGCTATAAAAAACTTGCCTGTAAGGTTTCAAATTTCAATGTAAATCTGTTTTTGGTCCAAATTAATAAATAGGTATAAGAAAAAATATCCGTGGACTGCTGGTTCGATTCCTTTTAAAAATACGCTAGTGGAGATTAAAGCAAAAGTGTCTACATTTGCGCATCCTCTAACCGGTTAGAATCGATCAGATCGAAATTGTTTTGTTCCTAACATTCTATCGTCCGCAGTGAAGCCACAATTCGTCCGGGTGTCCGGCAAAGGCGCCGTCCGGGCCGGACAGGACCGGTCCTTCGTATGCACTACGCGTGGCTCCAAGCCACCGCCGAACATCGATTGGTTCATCAACTCGCAGCTCGTCGACTCCACTTTGACTCAGGTGGATATTTATTGTAAACTATTATAAAAAAAAATCGTTGATGACAACTGTTATGTGTGGAGTTCAGTTTAGAAAGAATAAATCTTTTGCGAAATTTTGTATTTAGGCACTTTGTAAGATCATTAACTGGACTTAATTATATCAAATCATTTTTTTAAGTACGTATTTTGAAACTTAGGTGTCTCACTAGGTTATTAGGTGGTTAGGAGTTACAGTAAAGTTACGCAACTAAAGGTTTTTTTTTTAGTTTTAGACCATTCATAGGTAGTCTATGCAACCGCCGCGGGCGTGGGTGAAAATCCCGCCGTGTGTTCTTAGCCTATGAACGAAAATTTTACTAACCAAATTGGGCGTTAATGAGGATTCAAAAGTTAAATGATGAGCATGAAATGGACTGACTGATTTTGAAAGAAAAATAACGAAATTGAAAACGTGACTTATGAAAGTTTTCATATTTTCAGCACGGGAAATAAGCAACCTTACCTTTAGCAGTATTAATAAATTTTTTTTTTCTAGATGGACGTCGACGGCGACGTGACTAAGAGCGAGCTAACATGGCACGTCAGGAGAGAAGACAGTGGCAGGCAGCTGGTCTGCCGTGTCTCCAACCCCTGGTTCCCTGCCTACACGCTGGAAGACTCTGTGATGCTTGATGTCATGTGTGAGTATTTGTTTTCTCTTTAGGAGTATTGGGGATGTCGTAGGCAGAGTGACTAAGAGCGAGCTAACATGGCACGTCAGGAGAGAAGACAGTGGCAGGCAGCTGGTCTGCCGTGTCTCCAACCCCTGGTTCCCTGCCTACACGCTGGAAGACTCTGTGATGCTTGATGTCATGTGTGAGTATTTGTTTTCTCTTTAGGAGTATTGGGGATGTCGTAGGCAGAGTGACTAAGAGCGAGCTAACATGGCACGTCAGGAGAGAAGACAGTGGCAGGCAGCTGGTCTGCCGCGTCTCCAACCCTTGGTTCCCTGCCTACACGCTGGAAGACTCTGTGATGCTTGACGTTATGTGTGAGTCCTTGCTTTCTCTTTTTAGTATTAGTTGTAAAGGTTATGATAATATTAGTATAAGGCTTCTAGAGCCACCGAACAGATGGTCTAATCTGTTTATTAATAGGTTGATTTAAGCTATAAGTTTTCTGATTAAACGCTTAAAACTTACTGGAAAATAGGTATGGCCCACCAAGGAATCAAACCCCAAATATCTTACACCCTTATTCACAAACATTAATATGAGTTCTCACAGTGCTCGTGGAGTGCACAGGGTGACACACGCGAACCAATCACAGAGCTCTATTCAACGCTGTGCGTTCGATTTGCTGCGTCACTTAAGCAAGCATCGTTTGTGGATACGGGCGTAAGTTAGTATTGGTGCAAGGCTTCNTATAGTATAGTATAGTATAGTATAGTATAGTATAGTATAGTATAGTATAGTATAGTATAGTATAGTATAGTATAGTATAGTATAGTATAGTATAGTATAGTATAGTATAGTATAGTATAGTATAGTATAGTATAGTATAGTATAGTATAGTATAGTATAGTATAGTATAGTATAGTATAGTATAGTATAGTATAGTATAGTATAGTATAGTATAGTATAGTATAGTATAGTATAGTATAGTATAATATAATATACAGGGTGTTAGGTAAATGGGTATATGAGCCGACACTAGCCCATGTTAACATGGTCATATAAATGGTATGGTGAAGTCAGAAAATTGATATCTTCATTTTAATTGTTTTATTTTTCATACAAATCGGATTTTATAAAATTAATTTTGTATGAAAATTAAAAAAATTAAAATGATGATATCAAATTTCTGACTTCACCATACCATTTATAAGACCATGTTAACATGGGCTAGTGTCGGCTCATATACCCATTTACCTAACACCCTGTATAATATTAAATATTAATATAGTAGGAAGTTATGTGCTTAACAATTTAAACTACTTTGTAACTTTACCTGTCAACAAACTGCTGAAGCCGGGTCGTCTGGACCCGGCTGGGTGTAACGCGTAATGTACCTACTTAATGTATCATGTACCTAATGTAATGGAAATAGTATGGGCAGCACTTTACATGACATGTAATGCTCGTAGTGCAGCACACGTAGAATCGTGTTACACGTAATCTTACATTACCTACACATTTACACCCGTCTGGACCCGGCTTTAATGACTGAATAAAATAGCGATGAAAATTTAACTTTAAGGGCTAAAATTAATTAATTGGCGCGCAAATGGCGTTCTCAGAGCTGCTGTAGGCTGTAGGTACCAGGTACTTACTTACTAATTACTTACTTATCTCCCCTTGTTATTGAATATTGACGCTAAAATCAGATGATATTAAATAAACTAGTTTAATATGTTACGGTAAAAGTGATAAATTTGAAAATTATGAATAATCGCCGGTTATTATGAATAATTACCTCATGATTTGGTAAATGTGATTAATATGAGATCATTTATGTGTGTATAAAACTAAATAGGCGGCTTAGGGGTGGCCCAATTAAGGACCACCCCCGCCGCACCTTAACCTATTTTTCACTTTAAATCAAAACAATGTGTTATAGGCATTAGGCAAAGTGTTACGCAAGAAACAGTCCAAACTCATTTTGCCAATTAATTTATTAATATATGAATCACTAGCTTTCCGCCCGCGGCTTCGCCCGCGTGGAATTTTGTCTGTCACAGAAAAACTTTATCGCGCGCGTCCCTGTTTCAAAAACCGGGATAAAAACTATCCTATGTCCTTTTCCGGGACTCAATTAACTAGGTATCTCTATGCCAAATTTCATCAAAATCGGTTTAGTGGTTTAGGCGTGAAAAGGAGACAGACAGACAGACAGTTACTTTCGCATTTATAATATTAGTATAGATAGCGTTCAAAATGTGAGGCTGCAGTACATGAGCGCTGTACACGTTGTTCTCTTTTATGATTATATGTTAGGTTACATTATGAACTAATCCTACTAATATTATAAAGGCGAAAGTTTGTGTGGATGTTTGTTACTCTTTCACGCAAAAACTACTGAACGGATTTGGTTGAAACTTTACAGTATTATTATTTGTAACCCAGATTAACATATAGGCTGACTTCTTGGCGGGAATCTGAAGCGTCATGTTAGCGGTTTTGTTTTATTTCCTCAAATTCGTGTGTGGGCGACTAGTCCAGTCATTTCGTCCGAAAAAAAGGCAAATAAAAGAAAATGAATTTGCGCTTCTAATTTTTTAATATGTTGTAGGGGATACCTAGAAAAGCTTAACTTGAGATTGTCGACCAAGCTTTCCTAGGAGCTTTCGCCGCCAGTCTTGGAAAACGCTTAAAATTTGTTTTTCGGCAATAACTCGGCTATCCGATGAGATTCGAAAATTTTTGTAGGACACTTTTTGTAGCTTTCTTTGTGCTCTACAATAACGCCCGAACCATTTTTAGCGTATCATGCATCGTTATCGAGATATCGATCGATAAAGTCAAAAATTTTGGACAACACAGGTAAAACAAGTACAGGGGCAAAACAAGAAATGTCACAGAAACAAAAAGTTATGTAATGAACATTTAAATTTTTTAAAGTTTAAAACATTCTTATGTGTCACTTAAAATTACAAACTACTAATAGGAATACATATGGCTCTAACTTGTTTTTACGCTTTTTGTATATTTTCAAATTAAAATACGCGAGAAATCGAAAATATTGCCATCAAAAATATACTTTTGAATTTTAGGAACATTCCTTGTTTTGCCCATGTACCCTTCATATAGGCTATAATGTATGCCAATCTGTGGCACTAAACACGCGGGTAAAGCCGCGGGCAAAAGCTAGTCACTGATAAATGTGATTATTTTATCACTTTTACCTCGCCTATCAGTAATTATTATTCATAATAACCGGCGATTATTCATAATTTTCAATTTATCACATTAACCATAACTTATAGGTACATAAATTCTAAATACCTACATTGTATCATCGTGACTAACAAAGTAAGAAATCGCGTATTCTTTAACTTGAACAATGCAATGCAAACAATTCCATACATGACAAAGATCACATAATTCATTGTAACATCATCATTATTATAATTATCCTACTTTATTTATTTGTAGTTTGTTTGTAAGCTTTCAATGACACGTTTGTAAAATAATTATGTAGGTAAAAACTTAATTTACTAGCTGTGCCAGCGACTTTTCGTACGCTTGAAAACAGTTTGTTTGAATAATTTTTCTAGGCATTTTTTTAATTCGGACCATAGATTTGTTGTACCTACTAAAAATCTAAAATAAAGGAAACATTGGTGATGATGATGGATGGATGGATGTTATTATAGTTGATTAGATATACATACCTACATAGATCATGGAGGTAGTAATAGATCTACATTATGGCTACGTAAGTACACGTAAATAACAAAAAAAAAAAATCAAACGACTCTTTCGCGATGTAAGAAAGATGATGTCCCAGGATCGATGTTAGATTTGAGACTGTGATTTGAGTAATTCATTGCAACTCACGAAGGCGAGTGAGCTTTACATGTGTGTGTACGGTTACATACATGTTATCAATGTTGATAATGTTTATCAAAACTTTTGAAAAACGAACAGAAGCGAGCCACCAGTCCACCACACATGAAAACTCACTCGCCTTAGAGCGTTTACGCCGTTTGGTGCAAAAACAGTACTTTTTCAACTCGTTACAATCATTAACCAGTTACATTACAAATATGTTATGAGTATTTCTCAAAAAAAATGTACATTTTGAAAAAAAAAGTGTGCTTTGAAACAGTTCAAAAGTTTTATATTTATAAATCATCACACAAAAAAAACACACACACAATTTTGAAGGATGAATATTAATCTTTAAGATAACGAAGAATTATAGCTATAATCCTGCTTATTACCAAATATTTAGATATTTTAAAAATAGTCCTTTTTTACCTTTCATACAAAAACCTGTTTGCCACCCTAGCTTTTTCATGTATTTTTGTTTCATAAAATGCGATACGTAACTAAATTATTGTAAATTTCTTTGTATTATCGTTCTACAGTAATCGCAGTTTCTGTATCAAATTGATTTTCTATGGGGTGTCATAATGAATTGGCAATTTAAAGCAAAAAAACAAAATGAGTCGCTCTCATTTACTATTTCGTTATTTACTCTTTAGTTACGATTTATTTCTACTTTCCCATGGTTTCTGAACAATTCCGTATTTATTTTACACGGACAATAATAGCTGCACTCTGAATGGCTGTTGGCCTGACGTCTCCGCCATAACATCTATCGCGAAAATTTTTTTTAGGAATGCCGCCAAAAACCAATGCCGAAAGGCAAAAAGCTTACAGAGAACGACTCAAAATGGATAAACATGATGGAACAAAAATAATTTTATTAAAATAGTATGAATGATTACTCCCTTATTTTATTTCTAACCCCTTAATATTACCCCGTATTTGGGTGCATACTTACAAATATTTCGAATTGAATAAATAAAGAGCATTCACAATATTTCGCCAATGTATAACAAGCCTTATGGCCTTACTATTTCGTTACTACCGTTTCGTTACGTACACTTTTTTTGAGAAATACTCTTATAGGCATAAATAATTAGACAATTTCGTCGTCTAAATAGTTAGTTGAGAAAATATTTCGATTAGTATAGTATTTAAAAATTATATCAAGATAAGTCCACACAGGTTTTCAAATTTCCACTTTAGCGTCAGTTTACAAGCTGAAATTTTTATAAAAATACTGTGAAAACGATATAACAAACATTTATATCTTATAGCATAGGTCCTTAGGCAAATAGTTAGTTGAGAAAATTCTTAGATTTAAGCATTTTACAATAAGAAATCACAAATTCAAAGAACGTGAAATACCCAAAAATCAAAGTGATTTTTACACCATTAATCTTCTTTAATTCAACATAAAAATAGCTTAATATAATAAAATAACATCTTCTGTGTGTATAGTGATAACTGCAGAGTGCGGACGTAGGGTCAAAATCAAATTCTTGAATAGTGTGTAAAAGCACAGAATAAGTAATAGTACAGGTAAAAGGCCCTTTTTAGGGTAGGTACATAAACACGTCCAAGTTTGCGCTACCACCACTTCATCGGG